TTAGCTGAAATTGAGATTTACTTTTCATTTGCTATGATATAAACCGGAGAATGAGAGTAGAAATGGCGAGATTCAATGTGAATGTCGTACGGAACTTAACAATTCCCCTTTCAGGTAGTACGTATCGAGCGAACCGAAATACCCGAAGAATACCGGGCCGTTGGCGTCTCAAACGCGGTTGTAAACAGAGTGATGGCCTCACAACCGCCGACGGAAGATGCGGATAAGATACAATTTTTAAGGTTTGGACTATTTTTTGCATTCGTTTTAAAAGTTTTGAGTTGAGAAACTTTCTGAATCTTCCGAATTTTAGGTGGAATTTTTAAAAATTTCTCAATTTCCCAAAAAAATTATTTCGTTTTAGGGAAAAACTGAACGAAGAACGTGCAGCAAACGAACGTCTACGCGAGCAAGTCTACCATCTGACGGAACTCCAGCAGAAGCAGTCTTCTGCGTACGTGCCAAATGGTCCGTCCTTGATTCCGATAGATTTAGATTCAAGTTAGGCATCAAGCCAGCTGGGATGCAGTGGCTTCTGCTGGGCTCGCACTTAAATCCGCGATTATTTTATAATGTCTAGAGTCTAGATTATAGGCTATGCGCATTTTAGGATCAAATTATTGTCGTTGTCATTGAAGTTTCATCAGTTACTTGGCATAGATATCATTCGTAGTGAAATATTATTATCACGTATTAAAATATTGCTGGAACGTTACCGGGTTTTGTTATGAAATTATCATTATTTTGATCATAGTCACTGTTTAATCAGTGGGATTTGATCTGATTTGATTTGCAAATCATTTAGATGCAGAGAGGGGTGCGGGTAAGATTACGCTCGAGGAAATGGAGGAGCGTAAACGCGTTTTCAACGAAACCATCGAACGCGTTGAACGGATGTTTTTCGATCATCAGCTGGAGAATGTGTGCGAATCGAATGAAAAAGTGGGCAAATTTTGGATATTTTTGAAATTTAAATCCTCTCAAATCTTGTAAAGTAGTTTTGCGACGTTAAGATGAAGGTTTTGGTGTGATTTTTGTAGAGTAAAATGTGTATATTTTCAG